ACAGCAGAAGGAACAAAGGAGTGCTTGTATCTGTTTGTTTTAGCAAGTGGGAGTCTGAGCAGTGAACCTGATGGTAAAAACTGAAACTGTTGGTGTAGTGGATGAGAGCAGTCGGACAAGATGGAGTTTGCTTTCTTAATCAGCTGTTTGTTGTAAAGGTCCTGTAAAGTTTCCTGTGCAGACCCCGTTATTTTACTACACACACTAACAACTTTGTTCAGGAGATTTCTCTCTTTTACCCTCAAGGATTGAAACCAACAGATAAAGGAAAACGTGATCACAGACTCAATAAAAGAACGATAAAACTTTTCTTATAAATCAAGTCCGTATTTTTCTCAAATGTCAGCTTATTGTCAAGAATAGTGCCTAGGTACTTATAGGACTCTACAATTTCAACTGCCTGACCATCAATCACTGTGAAGTCAGGAGATGAGGGCTACACACGTCTAAAATCAACACACATATCCTTTGTCTTCAAAACATTCAAAGATAAAAACGATTCCTGACACCATTTTAAGAAATAATCAACCACAGGACCATGTGAAGTTACAGAGTTGTTCAGCAGGCTCACTATGACAGTGTTGTCCGCAAACTTCAATATATGACGGTTTTCAAATTTGCTGCGACAGTCATTTGTGTACAGTATGTACAGCAGAGGAGAGAGGACACATCCTTGAGGTGAGCCAGTAGATGATACAGATAGATCAGAGAGTTGACCATTAACTCTGACTCTTTGTGTTCTGCAGGTCAGAAAGTCCAAGATCCAGCCAACAATACTGCCTTCCAGACCAAAGTTGTTCATCAGTCTCTGGATTAGTAGATGAGGCTGAATAGTATTGAAGGCAGATGAAAAGTCAACAAACATCAGTCTAACATGATTGTTGTTAATAAAGTTATGGTGGCGTCCTGGACCCCCCTCTTGGACCTGTACGCAAACTGCAATGGGTCAATCAAGTAATTTTCAGCAGTTCAACTTTGATCAGTTTTTCAAATGACTTCATAACTAATGAGGTCAGGGCTATGGGCCTGAAGTCATTTAAAGATTTGGGATGTTTAGACTTGGCAGCAGGAACTATAGTCGACTGTTTCCACAGATTAGGTACCTTCTGCTGAGACCAGGATAAATTAAAAATGTAATTAAAAATAGGGCCTAGTTGTTCAGCACAGTTGGAGAGTATTCGACTACTGATATTATCAGGACCAGCACTTGTTCTTCTTTTACAGTGTTTAAAAGCTTTAACAACAGAAAGTACATCAAAAGGAGGAGCGGCTTGTTGATTTGGTTCCAGGGTGGTGTTTTTCAGCGTCATTATTTCATTATTAAAATCATGCACATCAAATCTGCAGTAGAATTTGTTTAGCTCTTGAGCCAGAGCCAGATCTGAGGTGAACCCATCTAATAATACCCTTTTCTTCACATTCTGTCAGTCAGACCAACCACAGACCTAATACTGTCCCATGCCGAACCCAGATTATTGTTGCTAAGCTTGTCTTCAAGTTTTAGTTTATAAGATAGTTTGGCTCTCCTAATTTCCCGTTTAATTTCCTTTTGTACAGACAAAACTTCAGTTAAATTACCCTGTTTAAAAGCCTGTTTCTTTTTATTTAGTAACACTTTAAAGTGTCTGCTCACCCACGGTTTGCTATTGGGATAGGTTTTAACAGACTTAACAGGAACAACAATATCCTCACAGTAGGTTATCCAGGAGCTGGCCACATCAGTGACTTCATTAATGTCACTAGAGGATTCAATGAACTCCTCCCAGGCTGTGCTATCCAGACAGCCCTGGAGAGTCAGTGTGGCCTCTTCTGACCACACTTTGATGTTTCTGGTTGCCACCTTCCCCCTCTGAAGACATGTCCGATATGATGGGACCAAGAACACACAGTTATGGTCAGCTGAGCCAAGCAGGGGGAGTGGGATAGATTTATATGCATTTTTGATGGACCCATAACACTTGTCAAGAATCCTGTCTTTCCTGGTGGGGCAGGAAACGTACTGATAAAAGCTCCTGAGGGATTTATCCAGTGAACAGTGATTAAAATCTCCCAAAACCAGGTTAGGGGCATCAGGGGATAAGGACTGAAGTTTATGCACAGACTGAGAGATGAGCTCTGAGGCGTTTTTTTCATTTGCCTTTGGGTGGACATAAACAACAGTCACAAAAATCTGTGAAAATTCTCGTGGCAAATACGTAGGGCGCATGGACAGAGAAAGCAGCTCCACATCCTTGGTACAGAGTCTCTCTCTCACTAAAACAGTTTTACACCAACGTTCATTGATACACACACATACCCCACCTCCGCATGACTTCCCGGTTGTTGCGGATGCTCTGTCGGTGCGGAACGGGACCCCAAACCCGTCTATTGCCAGATCACCGTCAGTGTCCCTTTCCCAGGTCTCTGTGAAGGCCAGGATGCAGGCTTCTTTAAATTCATGATGGTGGCGGACAAGAGCCTCAGTTTTATTGTGGAGAGAACGGGCATTAGACAGGATAATTGAAGGCAGGGGGATGCGCGACAGGTGATGCCGTCTCATGCGCTCCCGCACCCCGCCTCTCCTGAAATTCCCTCCAGGCCTTGAGATACTGCGTTCGTAAGAATGACACGGATGCAAGGTCACAGTGACCTTGGCCCTGAATAGAATAGAATAGGATAGAATAAAATAGAATAGAATATATCTTTATTGTCCACCATGGGTGGAAATTTGTCTTCAGCTCACCAAACACAAAATACAACATTGTAAAAGCAAACAGTCAGTAAAACAGATAGAGTCATTATAAACACTTAACACATTAAATCAGCACCTTGTCTGTCTGTCGTTTAAAACTCATCAATCACTTGGTTGAGTTAAGGACACTGATAGCACTCGGGATGAAGGACTTCTTAAATACATTTTTGGTTGCCAGAGGGACTCTATAGCGCCTCCCAGAGCTCAAGAGTTCAAACTGGCCAAAGAGAGGCTGAGAACTATCTGCCAAGATACTCCTTGCTTTCTTTCTTTTCCTTTCAGGAAAGAGTTGGGTCAAGGGCTTTTGTGGCCTGCCAACTATTTTACTTGCCAGTGTCACAAACCTACAGAGTTTATTCTTAAATGTACAGTTAAGGTGACTGTAACAGGCAGGAAGGTGACAAGTTAAAACACTCTAAAGCATAGTTTTATACACTAATTATAAAATCTGCTGACTAACACCAAGGCTACTGAGTTTCCTAAGAAGATAAAGTCGCTGTGAGCATCTCTTGAAAATATACTCAGTATTTCCAGAGAAGCTCACATGGGAGTCCAGAACCGTACCGAGGTATTTAAAATTTTCCACAGTTTCAACAAGTTGACCGTTGAGTGAAACTGGCTCTGTCTTTAAATCTGGTTTTGTGCAGATAAGCAATTCCTTAGTCTTGGTCACATTAATTTCTAACTTGCTGATGTGGCACCATGTTTGAAGGGCCTTAGTGTGGGCCAGGTAGGCAGCTTGGCTGATGGGTCTTTTTGCTGTAAAAGACCAACTAAAGCCATGTCATCAGCATATTTAAACAATCTAAAATATTCCTCATTGATCATAAATTCATTAGTAAACAGAGAGAATAGCATGAACTGGAGTGGATCTAGCATAGTGGCCACAGTGCTGTTCAGCTGGCTGGCCAAAACACGTTCCATGGTTTTACACAGAATGGAAGTTACTGCAATAGGCCTGAAATCACTTGGTAAACTTGCGCCTGACTGTTTTGGCACTGGCCTTATCATTGAGATTTTCCATGATTTTGGAACTGTGCATGTGTCTAGGAGAGACTGAAACAACCTTGCAAAAACTGCTTTCAGTTGAAAAGCACAGTCTTCAAGAAGTCGGGCTTTCAGACTGTCTGGGCCAGTGGTCTGTTTTTTGGCTTCCGTTTTAAAGGACTTGGGGCAACATCATCCTCACTAATAACTACTGGTGTCTCTGCAGTGAGGTTTTGGCATATTTCATCACATTCTGTCCTGCCATGCAGTGTCCAATCTATAGTAAAAATTGTTCAAATCAATAATGAAGTTCTGTCTATTACTTACATGACTGACTCTTTTTACTGGATCTGTCCATTAATATGTTCAATCCATCCCACACTTGTTTAATATTACCACTTATGAATTTGCTCTCCACTTAATTTTTAAAATCAATTTTGCTTTAAAAATTTCCCCTCGTAACTGTTTCCTTTTTATACGCAGCAATTCAGTATTACTAGCACAGAAGGCAATCTTCCTTTCATTCAGTTTTTTTTTTTAGCTGTTTTGATACCCGGGATTTGTTTGGAAAAATTCTCACAGTTTTGTTTCAGACATGGTTTCTTCACAGAATTAAATACATGGTGTGATGGTATCTGTAAGTTTGTCAGCATCCTGGCAGGATTGAAAGAAAATATCCCAGTTAGTCTCTTCAAGGCAGTCCTGAGTTGCTCTTTAAATCTGTCAGACCACACTTGTATAAAAATTCTCTGAAGGTATTCTTGAGATATCAGGTTAACAAGAATGAGACAGACAAGTTCACAGTGACCCTTATGTTTGACCTATGACTACCAAAATGTACTTATTTCATAGTTGAGTACAAGTGGACGTGACAAATTGGAAGACTCCCCCCTTGGTTTTCTTGAAATACTGCATTCACAAGAATAGTACAGACAGATGCATTTACTGACATGTATGGACAAACGTTCTTATGGAAAAACAGACAACCCTAAAAAATAATGCCTCCTGCCACAGCTTTTACCAGCATAGAGGCATAAAAAGGAGTAAATAAAACAATTAAGTACCATAGAAAAGTGGGAGGGGTTTACACACTTTCTTATGGATTATATATTTATATTTATATATATATATATATATATATATATTAGATTTTATTTCCATGAGGATCAATGTAAAATAAAATGTGTATAACAAAGCTCTACTTTGTGAAAAAAGTTACATTTGTATAAGTGATCTTGTTTAGTTACTTAAAGTCCCACACAAAAAAACAGTAGTAGCCATGTGTCATCCATAACTTTTAATAACCATATTTTATACAAAATGCTACAGAAAAATATAATTTCATTCAGCAGATGATAATAAAGAGCATATATATATATGTATATACATACACATATATGTACACATACAGTGTAGCAGCAGGTGCTGAAGACCACTGTTCAATGCTGCATAATGTTGAAAAGTGCTCAGCTGGAGAAACGTTCCCTCAGTGCACTGAAAGGTTTGTATTTGACTGACACGTTTTTACATGGAGTGTATCCACAAGCTGCACCATAGTCAGTCATCCCCTTTGTATACTGTGTGCTTTCAGAATAAACACACTGATGGTGATATGTTCATATAGTCTTTACAAATTGAGTTTGGTCATTGTGCAGTATTAAACCCAGATCTGACGTGCAGAATTTTTTGGCAAAACTTCAAGAAACCCAAATCCTGCATAAAATAGCATGGATTGAATGATGATTGTATCAGAGTACACTGAGGGGTTACAATTGTCAACTCAAAGTCAAAGAGACTCCAGAGCTATGAATAAGTTCACCTAAATATTTTCTATTCAAAGGCTAAATAAGGCTATACATTATGGCACTATGGCATCTAATATAACAGCAGTGTGATGCTGACTTAAGACTCTTTGACCTTAGACCTAATGATCATCAGCAGGGAGCAGAAAACTGATCATGTACTTAAGAGTCCATCCTGTATACAAACATGCTGGCAGTGAATGCATAGTATGCAGCTGGTGATTTTCAAGAAGTATCATTAAATCAATCTTGAGTTTTTTAAAACCCTTTTATAAACAATATTTGACCATGATTGGAGTTTTAGCAATATTTTGCACATTTACCTTTTCTTTTTTACCATCTCAATACTTTTCTCACCTGTCCTGGTTGACTATACCAAGTGTGACAGTCTGTAAAACATTAGTCTTGTTGTATCAGACTTGACTATCTGGTACATTATCTAAATGATGGAAAACTGATTATATAAAACACTAGGTTTCTAAATTACCACTTTCTGATTGTCAGCGTTATTATCAAAGAAACAAATGCAGAACATTTTTGCAAAACCTCCAATCATGTGACAACTGTCCGAAAAGCGTCCCATGTTTTTTTGTTGATCATATGATCAACAAAAAAACATGGATATTTAGGGGCTGTAGCTCTGTCATCAGCTCAGCTATGGTCTCTGAACTTGAATGTTGTCCCCATGTGTGGCATTATGATGGCAATGCTTATGTATAGTAAATGTGAATCAACTACATGCTGTGTTATAGATTCAAAATGTGATTATTCACATAATAAAGTAGCCAATTCATAGTATAAACCAGGATATATCTTAAGACACCAGAGTACAATATGCAAAGTTGTTTTATATTGTCAGTGAAGATGCCAGGTGAGTTTTAAGTGTCACATACAGCATTATTACAGAGCACTAGTATGTGGCGTTCCTCTGCGGCTCTTTAGCTGCAGTTTAGACTCTGTTCAGCTTGGTTGGACTGGGCATTCATGTCAAATGTAGCATTGAGCTGAAATTACCAGTTCAACTTGTTATAAAGTGGGCAAAATGTATGAAACCCACATGTGCAATACTTGTAATTTTAGATCATTAAAATAATATTTATCATGATACAGTTTGTGGTATATCTATGTAGAAAGTGTTATGGATACAATAACCAGCCAGGACTGTCTGGTTTGGGCTGATCCAGCAATAATACCTGACAACTTAAGGTACTTCATGACATTAACTATGTTTACATGCACACTAATATTCCACTATTATTCATAATATGACAGTATTCTGAATTTGATGCAGGTCATGTAAATAGCATATTCCATTTAGATATTCTGAATGAGGCCTTATTCTGAATTTTACATTTTCTGATGGGATGTGGGATATGCCTGTATTATTCGCGTTTTAATAGCATTCTTTAGGCATGTATACAGCGCAATCACAATATACATCTCAATTGGTGTTTTTACTGCAGTTTGCGACACAGCCTCTTGTCTGTTTATAGTCAGTTTTGTACATTGTCATTGATGTGTTGTAACCAAACCAATTCACCAACAGTTTGCAAAGCTGGGGTAGGGATGCAAAAGAAAAGCCCACAATTCATGTCAGAAGAAGACACATCTACCTTTTAACATTATGAAAGCCTTGGATATCAACAGGTTTTGTTATGTCCAGAAATATCTCAATGCAAAGATTTTCAAGGTTTTTAAAGGGAATGAAAGAGGGAGGCTGTGTTTGCATGATCCAATAAGTCCACCACTGGTGAGAAACCTTTGAAAAAATGACAAGCCACCCAAGTTGTTCCACTTTTCCATATTGACATACATCATAAGTTGGAGCTGTCCTTCCCCACAGTGCTGAAAGTGTATTTTCTCTTATATATAGGTAAATAAATGACGTAATATAAAAAGTACTGCCATAATGATTTTACCTCTGTAAAATATTATATCATAAATGAGGCCATGCCTTTTATAGAACATTGACATGCTGGGGCATGTTAATTGGACTATTAATGGAATTTTCATTAGCCGTGTAAATAGCTTAATAACAATATTGTCTATTTTGGGATTAAGGGCAAAACAAGAATAATCTGTGCATGCAAATGTAGTCAATGATGCTAAAGCAGTCCTGCTCAATGATTTTCTACAGTGCTCTACGTAGCTTACTGCAACCTGAGATATTTAAGACATAGCTTCCACTAGACAGCGGGCTGATTTCATCTTATCACTGATATATCAGTATCAGAGGAAATGTTTAAGGTGGCTTACATTACATTACATAGTTACATTATCACTACAAAATGTTCTAATTGGTACATATTTTGGTCACAGTTCTTTTAGAATCAAATTTAAGGCATCTTTATGGAAAAAAAAAATCATGTTATGCTTGTATGTAAAAAAACAACTATCTTTTCCTATATGGTTACTGGATTTAAAAAAACAACTGTCATGTATCAGTATCTGCAAAAAAACTCTAGCTCTATATTACTGAACCCTCACCTAGACCTATGCAGTGACAGAGCAACAGCTCCTTAAGTTACATCAGGATCTGTGACTCAAGGAACCTTTGAACAAAGTTTTAAGAACCGAGTATATGAACATGAAAATCAGTGCTGCCCCCTGGCGGGAGAAAATTTTAATGCAGACAGTTGGACAGCTCTTCAATGTGAGCAACTGTCCAAATTCGACTTGAAAATGAGCAGAGCTTGGCTAAAAACACACTCTGCTCCAAACCAGAAATTGCATGATGTAGCTTTACAGTTTTCAAAATTGTTAAAATATATTAAAATTAAAATTAAAATATGTATTAAAATATTTAGTCATATTTGTCTTCAGGCCTGTCACACACTGGTGTTACATATGTACACAGGTGAAAACAGGCCAAACCTCTGAGCACCAAAGGCATAATATTGCAGAAGAGACTGCTGCAGAGTTTTGTTTTAGGACTGCAGATATTAAAGGCATTCTTTTGGATTACCTAAGGGACTGTGGCTCTGTATCCATGGCTGCGTGTCCATCTGTGTTTTCAGTAATGTCTGCTCCACCAATATGGCTGTGTTCAAAGGTCTCTGGACCACAGCGATCACATGGGTCCTCCATTTGTCCCGTCCCCTCTTCTTCTGTCTCTTCCTCATTTTCTAAAAAGCTGTGCTGATCCCAAAGTTCCTGGCCATCGCACACTTCAATCCCAGAATCCCCTGTGAAGCGCCGGTACCTGCCCGGCGTCGAGTCCTTGTTGGGATTGTACGCGCTGTGAAGGTGGGGCTGCGTGACCTCTGGAGTAGCAGGGAGTACTGCATCAGCATCACTAGGGACAGAGACTGATGAGTGTGGGCAAGGGCATTCCTCAGGTGGGTCTGTGGGAGTAGGTGCTGGCTGAAGAGGGGTGTAGGGAGGAGGTGGTGTGACTGGGCGATCAACTACCTCTTCATAGGCTGGTAACAGGTAGGTGGGCAAGAATCCTGGAGAGAAACACAGTACACTTACATGTACAATACAAGTATGAAAGAGGACAAGTCATATCATCATGGCAGTCTCAGTCATTCCTGGTCAAGTACAATAACTGAGGGTATGGATGCTGAGCACTATTCCATCAACAATTTTTCTACAAAGCATTCTCATGATCACAAAGAATCTGTTATAAAAATAATTTTAGTTTAAAGCTCCAAATATCAATATATTTATAAAAGGGCTGAATCAAATGACATGAAGAATGTAAAAAAGGGGTCATTCAAAGTGATCAACTCACAGAGAAATACCCCAACTCTTCAGTTCCCATTAGCTCTACAGTGCTTTAAAGCAGAATTTTGTACTAAAAAGACTGTAACTAGATCTGTCTTACTCAAACTGCTAGAACCTTTTATTATCTCCAGCTAAACTTAAGCATGTGTTTTTACACAGATCAAGCACTTCGGACTGAGGACCAATACGCCTTTTGCCGCAGATACAGACATTTGAGCAGCGTACTACAATAGACTTGTTTCACTTAAGGTTCATCTTGTGCTGAGGGAGTAATTGGAGCTAAAAAGTCCCTCAAAACAGCGTTCTAAGAACTACAATGGTTCCTAGCCTCCTAGTGCTAAGAGTTGCTCCTAGTGACAAAAATTCTAAGAAAATTCTTAGAATTGTGACGTTTTCTGAATTTCCCCTTACAGTTAAGACTAGGTCCTTGTAAAGATAAATGTTATTCACAAAACCTCTTAGACCTTAAAAGAGCTTCAAAGGTTAAAAGATGTTAAGAGTAGGGAGGAGGGGACTTATGGTGGAGCGACTGAGGTGGATGGCCGCATAAATAATCCCTCCCGTTCGGTCGGAGTTTATTCCCCAATTTAAATACAAATACTCTCCAAGCTTTGCTCTAATTAATGATGGAGGGGGAAAGATACAAGAAGGGCAATGGTAAACAACCCAGGAAAGCGGAGAAGGGAGACAAATTGGCGACAGAAGGGGCCATAGCCAAGGAACACGGAGACAGTAATGGCGGACGAGGACAACACACTGAGCTAGCAGCAATGGATATGGAAGCTAGCATCGCCACCATCCACGCAGACATAAAAACTATGGTCACGGAGATGAAGTCTGAGCTGGGTAATTTTCGAGACAGCATCAGAGAAGATTTGAAATGGGAACTAGCCGACATAAGGGAGGAAATTCAACATAAGCTAGGTGAATTAGCAACCGACCTTAAAGCTACAACTGAAAGAGTGTGCGAAGCTGAAGGCCGTATAGCCGACATCGAGGAGTGGACCGTGGACTTAAGAGAGGCGCTGAGTCAGTCACTACAAGCCCAGGAAATATTGCAGATTAAGCTAACAGACCTGGAATCACGTTCAAGGCGTAATAACATACTCATTCATACGCATATTAGAGGGAGTAGGCTGTAAGGTGAATCAGAAAAAGTCTCACAGAAACTGATTTCCTCACCGACATCTGGGGACTACACGATCTTTACTTCATAAAAAAGATCGATACATGTTCAGCTTATCAGCGGGAGTTCGTAGCTCATAACCCCGCAAGAGTCCTGTGATTGGGGTTGTAATTCGGCACTTGTTCTGTCTGACCGTAATGATCTGTTCCGCCTGAGCGTAATAAGATTTGGTACGCGAGTGGTGGCATGGCCGTCACGTGATCGCGCTACACCAATAAGGTACCCGCATTTTGTGTCACCATGGTTTCATTCAGCAGAGGAAAACAGACCCGGAAGTCCTCAAAAGTGAGCAGAAATGAGCTGAAACAGCGCTATTCACATCGCCATGTCCATGAAACACGATGAGACAAATAGACAATAAGGTGAACTAAGCAAAAATGTCTTAAAACACATTTGATTCAATACCTGGGCATAACTGACATATTATTACATAGACAACATAGCTGTCCAGCGTAGTACGGAATTCGAGAATGGCTTTTTTTTGTGTGTGTGTGTGTGCACTGTTCTCTCGTGATGACTTATTATTTCGCTCTCCCGTGATAATTGTCAAGTCTGATGATTGCGCACTGGTTAATGTGATTGTCTTGATTTCAGCCTACAAGAGCTGTCGTGGTCCTGCTAGATGCCTCCTACCGTTATCATTAGTCACACTTCTACTGTTATTATACACATATGCACATGTATTGTCACATAGGCCTACCGTATATTTCCAAATAGTCGCCCGGTGGCATATAGCCGCCAGGCATCTAATAGCCGCCGGGGGTATGACCCCATTTTGTGTATTAAACGCCTTTACGATTAAACGCCGGGGCGATTATTTCCTCATTCACTGCCTCAAGAAAGGACAGCCCTGCAGGCAGGGAGAGAGCAGCTCGCGAGGGCTGCTCTCTCCCTGCCTGCAGGGCTGAGGGACTGTCTGCGCTTTTACGCACGGGTCGGTGGTGAAGTGGCGCACATGACTTGTGCTACGGACGGACGGACAGACAACCACGTATCTAAAACAGGTAATACATCTGGCTACATCTTTCCCACATCAAATATCCGTGATCACCTACACCTGCGTGCGTAAAAGCGCACACAATTCCGTGTCCTCTCACCGCGGATGCTGTGACTTGATGGCCCTGTACTCATTGTAGCCCACTCTTATAAGACCCAATAATAACAATAATAATAATAATAATAATAATAATAATAATAATAATAATAAGCTACTGTGGACCTATATGCCATGCCTTTTAATAAAATTACCAGAGGAGTTCGCTGAAAAGTAAAGTCCTGAAATCCAAATAGTAGCCCGGGCGTTTATTTCACAAAATCGATTTTGACCCCAGGCATTTAAAAGAACCAGGGGCTATTTGCTCAAGGCTTTTATTTTGTTTTGGGTTTTTTTGCACCGACCTGCACCAAGGCAAGGCAAGGCAAGGCAAGGCAAGGCAAGTTTATTTATATAGCTCAATTCAACACAAGGTAATTCAAAGTGCTTTACAGAGACATTAAAAGCAACACAATTTAAAACAATACTGGTATAATGCACCAGGCCGTTATTTGGTTACAGTTCCTGTCCAGCGATTTTCACCGGGGACGCATGCGAGTAATTCAGGCTGACATTACCTGTTTTTCAGCGAACTCCTCTGGTAATTTAATTTAAAAGGCATGGCCCATATTAGCTTATTATCATTATTATTATTATTATTATTGGGTCTTATAAGAGTGGGCTACAATGAGTACCGGGCCATCAAATCACAGCATCCGCGGTGAGAGGACACAGAATTGTGTGTGCTTTTACGCACATGGGTGTAGGTGATCACGGATATTTGAGCGAGCTGCTCTCTACCTGCCTGCAGGGCTGTCCCTCCTTGAGGCAATGAATGAGGAAATAATCGCCCCGGCATTTAATACGCAAAATGGGGTCAAACCCCCGGCGGCTATTAGATGCCTGGCGGCTATATGCCACCGGGCGACTACTTGGAAATATACGGTAGGCCTATGTGACAATAATCATATGTGTATAATAACAGTAGAAGTGTGACTAATGATAACAGGAGGCATCTAGCAGGACCATGACAGCTCTTGTAGGCTGAAATCAAGACGATCACATTAACCAGTGCGCAATCATCAGACTTGACAATTATCACAGGAAAACAATCTTTGTTATATCGAGAGAGCGAAATAATAACTCATCACGAGAGAACAGTGCACACACACACACACACAAAAAAAAGCCATTCTCGTATTCCGTACTACGCTGGACAGCTATGTTGTCTATGTAATAATACGTCGGTTATGCCCAGGTATTGAATCAAATGTGTTTTAAGACATTTTTGCTTAGTTCACCTTATTGTCTATTTGTCTCATCGTGTTTCATGGACATGGCGATGTGAATAGCGCTGTTTCAGCTCATTTCTGCTCACTTTCGAGGACTTCCGGGTCTGTCTTCCTCTGCTGAATGAAACCATGGTGACACGAAATGCAGGTACCTTATTGGTGTAGCGTGATCACGTGACAGCCGTGCCACCACTCGCGTACCAAATCTCATTACGCTCAGGTGGAACAGATCATTACGCTCAGACAGAACAAGTGCCGAATTACAACCCCGATCACAGGACTCTTGCAGGGTTATGAGCTACGAACTCCCGCTGATTAGCTGAACATGTATCGATCTTTTTTATGAAGTAAAGATCGTGTAGTCTCCAGATGTCGGAATGAGATGAAATGATAACTGCGTTCACCTTATGACCTAGAGCAGAGGAAAACAACGTCCAGCAATTTATTGACAATATGATCAAAAAAGAGCCGCAGCCCCTCTCTGAAGTTGAACTTGGAATACAACGGTGTCACAGCGCTCGGCCCTAAACCCCCAAAAGAGGCACAACCCAGGTCAGTGGTTGTATACTTTCAGGAGTTTAAAACCAAAGAACTGGTGCTGCATTCTGCATGGAAGAAGAGGGAGATCTACTATGGCGACAGGAGGATTTATTTCGACCATGACTACTCTGCAGAAACGCTGGCAAAAAGAAAGGCGTATGTGCAGATTAGGAGACTTCTGCGGGAAAAGAGAATATGGTTTCAGACACCACCGCCAGCCAAGCTACGAGTTTTCTTCGACAGCGGACCGGTTAACGTATGGGAGTGCAGCGGAGGCGGCGGAGGATTTGAAGAAGAGGGGCTTCCCGCTTGAGCGTGAGAGCACTGCTGAATCCGGGATCCCAGAGAAAATACGGAAAAACACTTGGCAGCGTCCAGTGAAGACAGCCAGCACCCAGTCCCACCAGGAGTGGATTAAGCAAAGGCTGCAAGGTTTTCAGCGGCCGTGATAGACACAGTGACAACGTAAACGGGAGGTAACAGACTGTGTAACGATCTTGCATTATAAGAGCAGAGACTCGACTGAGAGCTACAGTCCAGTTAAAAATGTTAGTGATATGGGACTGGGGGATGGAGGTGCACTGTATAGTGGCTGGGAGCAAAAACTGTATGTCACCTGTTTTGTTGTTTTCTTGTGGCTGACTCCCCCCTCTCCACTAAGACTGAGTC